TGTCATTTAAATATGTTGATTTCTTAAGGTATCATTATATTATACTTAATATTATACTTACTTATCAAATACAACTCTCTAATATCCCCATGTGATAAGTCCAAATCAAGTTCTTTCAAACGATTTCCTTCTAAGTTAAGAACTTGAATGTTCGGAAATTGCTTTAAGAAAGTTCTACTGATATTTGTTATCAATAAATTCCTCAACTCTAACACCTGAAAGAAAGTAAAAATGAAGAGTATTACACAGAAACCAGTAGGTATCCTAAATATGTAACAATTTTTGAAGGAGTAGAGATGACATGAAACAAGAATGAAAAATAATATAAAAGTCAGGAGTAAACATTGTATTCGCAAAATATTAATGATTGTTTTCGTGAGACGTCTGCAGATAGAACAAAATAATTCTAAGCAATTAAGTTCCTAGTAAGATATTCATAAAAATCTCTTCTCTAAATATATTTATATAACTCAAAGATGACTAACTGACTGACATAGTAATCTTTCAACGCACAGCCCAAACCACTGGACGGGTCGGGCTGAAATTTGGCATGCAGGTAGTTAGTTATGACGTAGGCATCCGCTAAGGAAGAATTTTGTTCAATTCTACCCCCAAGGGGATAAAATAGGGGATGAAAGTTTGTATGAAACTTTGTCAGTTTTAAATCGATCCGGCTGAGACTTAGCATGCATAAAGCTACTATGACGTAGGCATACCCTAAGAAAGGATTTTGAGAAATTCCACCCCTAAGGGGATAAAATAAGGGATGATGGAGGATGTAAATGTATTAGTTTGAACCTATCAGTACCTAATGAAACGAGTAAATTAAGAAGAACAAAATAATTTTTAGTTCTAAATGTTGACAATAGATGGCGTTAGTAGTAGTACGAAAAATAATCGTGTGGAACGAAATAACGATGGCTCATAAAGGTGGTATTGAAGCCCTACACAGATCACTGAGGGATATAAGGGGTAATAAAAAATTAATGGGTGGCGTAACAGTTTTGCTAGCTGGAGACTTTCGGCAGACTCTACTAGTAACTTAACTGGGTGTGCGAAAGGGGAAACTGTATTTATACAACGAATCCCATTAATAGTTTTTGATATCCCGTTCGAATTTAAACGATTACAGTTTTCCCTAAAAGTTTGCTTTGCCATGACAATAAACAAGTCTCAGGGGCAAACTCTCAAATTTGCGGGTATTGACTTGAAAGAACATTGCCTCTCTCATGGACAGTTTTTATGTTGCTTGCTCAAGAGTAAGTTCATCCAATAGCTTGATAGTTTTAGCGTCTAATGACAGATTAGTTAAGAATATTGTGTACAAAGAAGTTTTTAGGCCCTAATTTTTTACACACGCTAAATAAAAGTAAAGCCGCAAAAACTATACCTAATTAATAATAATACTTCTTAACGCGAGCGAAGCCGCGGGCAAAAGCTAGTTATTTATATTCCTTCACAACGTTTCGGCAAAGTCTCATTTGCCATCTTCTGGTGACTTTAGAACTGGTGAGTTTGGAACTAGAAGAAGATGTCAAATGAGACGTTGCTGAAATAAATTGATGTTTTTTACCAATTTCATTTGTAACTAACGTTACTACAATGTCCTATACGGACATTTTCAAACTTATACTTGTATAAGTTATACTTGCATAAGTTTGAAAATGTCCGTATAGGACAGAACTGCAGTAACGTTAGTTAATACAAATAAAAGTGGTAAAAAATATAGGTGGTGAAGCCAGGAAGCAATTCATCGCTTACTCAAGAGCAGACTATTTTATACCTTGTACCAATTTCTTGAGCAACAGAAGTAGAATCTGCATTATGGAAGAAAACAAATTCCCTCTAAGAAGGTCAGCAAACACTTTACATCAAAGGATGATTCGTCCAAATCAGAAGCTGAATGTAATGTATCGTCAGATATATCTGACTGAGATGCCCTCTTGTGGGAAGGTTGCTTCGGTCATTAACCTTACATTTTGAATTTCAGTTAACCTCAATATCGATCAATCAATTTGTGTAGCTCGTCTATCTGACGTTGATCACGTCCTCATCAATTTGAGAAAAATTCTATCAACCATTTCATATTGAATCTTTAGAAAAAAAGACTACATGTTTTAGCTAATATAACTTGATTACTTATATAAAGATGAAAAGCTGAAAGACAAAAACTCAGCCGATGGGAACCCAGAAAGTAGAGAGAGTTTGTTGCTTGGCGGATAAAGCTTCTGAAAAAAACTTCATTTATAAAAAATATGAAGATTCCAAAATCATTTTATTCAAGTTATCACCTTGTTTTGAAGAGGAGGGCAATTGTCTGAGAGGTGATATGCCTATGAATCGAAGTTTTTGGTCATCATTCTGTATTCCGTTAGTATGAAAATGTTGGATTTTACAAGCTAGTAAGATATTCACGAGAATTTCAAACCATGAGTTCTGAAAATGACACAAAATCCGAAAGAAAAATTGATGAAGCCACAAAGATCATAGGGTATGGATTATTATAAGCTCATAATGGTCAATTATCGGACGCAGAAAATGAACCGATATGGTTCTGTCACCACGTGCCTTTGTTAAAATAACGTGTAAGATTCCCACCTTGATACCCGCGACAACCTTCCAATATGAGGGTTTTTGTACGTCAGCTACACCTGACGATGCCTTAGTTTCACCCCTGTAGGGCTTTTTGGCCTCTGGTTTTGGTGAATCATCACTTGAGCGCAAACGTTTGCTAACCTGCTCATGGAGAGTTCGTTCCTCCACCTGAGACAGATTCTGCGTACGCCGCTCAAGAATTTGGTGCAAGGTACCTCGCTCTTGAGGAGACGCCTCAGTCGTTTCCCGGCTGCACCACCAAACTTTTTTTTTAGGTTCAGTTATTGGATCATGAGTAGAAGAGTTGAGAGGCTCTCACTCCTGATCTAAATTTACAGGAAGATCAGTTTTTAGTCGTAAGGTAAGCTCGACATCCATTTTCTCTGTAGACTCAGCGCCAGAAATAATTTTTAAGTTCACCTGGTCCATAAAAGACGCAAGAGCAGCTAGGGAAAGAAGGTAAATCACGGCAGAGCCCCGTATTACCGTGACAAGGCGATGCTACGACAAGAGGGCGCCCAGTATCTCGAAGGTTCCGTAGTGACAGCTGATAGGCTCAGTGTCATTCATCCTCTCGGCACGGATACACACACCTAAGGATTAATCCATGGTTGGGATGCCATTCAGTTAGGGAATAACAGAACCACAAGTGATTCTGTCATTTCTGTTTTCAGCGGGGCTACGTGAAAGCAGGCATCCGTTGGACGATTTGCTCAACCCCCACATACCAAGCCAATGCGCTCGGCCAAAAACAGCATGCATAGTGGTTCAGGCAGTGTACATATATGTTTTTTTAAATCAAGGAAATTGAGGAAGCATCACAGCCAATCATTTTCTGATAGAATCAAGGATCAACAGGTATCGTTGAGCCACCTATCAGTATTAACTCCACGACAGGGAACACAAAGGGAGTATTCCAAATGTTCCAAAAGTTTTTGCAATGTATGAGTTCATGAATATCTGCTAACACACATCGCAAGATTGAGGTGGTTTGAAGAAAACATCAGTGTGGAGGAAGATGATTTTGATGTGGTTATAGTCAACAAATTCGTCAGGAATCTTCAGCCAATGGGAAAACTCGTAATAGTTGAAACAGTGGTAATAGCGACTCCTGTTGGATTTACAGCTCAAACTGAGAATATATACAAGAAAATAAACAAGTGTCTCCGACGGTGTTATCCAATATCAGATAGTGCAACAAACCTATGACGACTTTTCCTACAAACGTCCTATCTATGGGAGCAACAAAACATTGAAGTTTCAGCAGATATATTCGAAACATCTTACGATTTTGCCCTCACGGTTTGTTTTGCCCTCGGAATTTTTGATGTTAAAAACGTTCCTGTTCTCGAAATCGGTAATGTGTAACTGCACGTTGTCAGCGTTATTGCAGTGGCATCTCACCAAGCGATTCTGAGTGTTGAAATCCCTTATAAGGAAAGATTTTTCTTACGTCATACAGTCTCTTTAATTGAAAAGATGAATTGTTACCTATTTTTCTGCCCTAATTCTCCCTCAATCTACTTTCAATTAACGAATTAACCCCAAGTTCATTTTCACAGATACATTTTACATCCATTTTACTAAATTACTAGTGTCAGATCATGTAGAAACTGTGGCTTGATGTACTAAGTATGACTCTTCAAACTGGTCACGTTTAATAAAACGAGCAATCAAAAGATAAAAATATAGCTTCATTCCATATGAAATAATATTTTTATCTTTCCGTTTTTCCGAGATGAAAAAATCGTCTGGATTTGGAACCGGTGCAAAGGACATATTTATTTAAATTGATTTCCAGGATCAAAATAAAGCGGTTTATGGCATTGTTACATTGTATAACGTGAGGAAAAACGTGATTCAGAAAAAATATCATCACGTTTATGATCTTGACAGTACACCCACTTCTAAAATATACTCATTGGTTGCGTAATATTCAGAAAACATGCTTTTAGATGAAGCTATATCTAACATCCATTAAGCATTGACAGAAAAGAAAATATTGAAGGAATGTTTTTCGATAGAGATAAATTTTATCAGAAAAGTGTTGCATCCAGTTTCTACAAATTTGCGCATATTGTCACGTTGATGTTGCTTCCAGCCCCAATCTGTTGTCAGTTTGTTATCCAGCCAAATTTGAAGCTGATATCTGATACCTGTATGAAACACCTTCTGAAGAGCTCAACATTTGTGTGAGCTATTCAGGTATGAAAGTTTTCCTGAAATAGCAATAAATAGGCACCTACGCATATTAATTTGAAGATATCTTGAAAAGTATTAAGTACATTAACTCATTTGATTGTTAATTATAGTATGTTTCGATTTGCAATTTTTTAGTTCATCAATCTAACATGGAATCTTACATTTTTGAGTAATTAAAGTGAAAATTTATATACATAGCGCAAAATCTCAAATAACGTTAAAAATTTTTTCGTTTTTTGCATTTTCATAGAAAATACTCCACCATGATATTTTTTTACATTACCAATTTTTTGAAGTGAGTATTTTCGAATAAAAGTGAGGGTGTTTTTTCCATATAAAATCAAAATGAGGAAAGAAAAAAGTTTTGGATAAAAGAAATGGCAGTGTGTTTGGAACATAAGAATGTCGTAAAAAAATGGGGAAAATAAAAAATTTAAATTAAAAAGTCGGGTATCTGTATTTGTCACATATATTTTGAAGTTATGAGAAAATATATATACAAAAGTTGTATATCTTTTCATTACGTACAGTTTTGTTGCTTGAACTATTTCGACAGCAATATAGCGACAAACCGTTTTCCACTCTTTAGAGCTCACCCTCTTCAACTTCTCGATCTCAAATCGCCCGTGAATTATTTTTTCTTCTATTTTCCCAATGAGTATCATAACAATTTTTTTTTTCACTTTTCATCATTTTCAAAGTCTACGGCCCTAGCCAAAAGAGAACAATTTTTGAAATAGAACTGCCTATCAATACTGCCTTTAAAAAATTATAATAATCAACGATTTTTTTTATCTAACCCTGTTTTCTAAAATTGAAAATGAGACAATTTTCTCTATTATCTAGGTTATTTTTGTGTTCTTTTTCTTTTCATTTTCTTTTACTTTTGGTGAAAGAACAGAGATAATTGCGTGTTTCTTCAGAAAAAAACAATGTGGAGGTGGCATTCAGACCACATGATAGGTTATCTGATTTCCCTTTCAATGCCAAAGATAAAGTGGACAAGTTGGAGAAATCTGGAGTTTATAAGCTTAAGTGACCGGAGTATAATAGTGTTTATATGGGACAATGTGGACGAAATTTTTCAGAACGGTTTGCTGAATATGAAAGTTCCTTCAGACTATGCAAAAATGATTCGACGTTTTCAAACCATTCCTTGGGATGCAACCACAGGTTCCCGAATCTAAACGATACGGATATTTTTCACTATGCAGGGAAGGGCTGCTAACTCAATTATTTAGAATCCTTGGAAATTCACAAGCATAAGCATTGCGGGTGCAACCTGTTAAATGATCAAATCGATCTAGTTTACTCAACGGTTTTCAAATTAGCGTATCCACATTGTTACAGGTGAACAAAATTCAGGTACTCAATTAAGTTAAGTACCTTTGTTATTACCGACAGTGGTGTTAATATAAGGTCTAATGTAATCAATCAGTTTTATTTCAATGTCTGAAGTTTAAAAATGTCCTTATAGGACAAAACTGCAGTAACTTTAGTTATAAATGAAAGTGGTAAAAAACATAGAAAGTTTCATTTCTCATTTTTCATGTAACTTTATTTTATGAAGGCGCCTTTTTCTACCGCGGCTGGTGCGCCGGTTGAAGTATTTAAAAATTCTTTGTTATTGCACATCTACAACATAAAACGAACCTACATACAAAATTTCAGCCTCCGAAAATATAGCAGTACGGAGAAACAGTTATGAAAAGGTAATTTTCATATGTAAACGCGCCCCTTCACCCCCATGGGGGGGTGTCCCAGATGGAATTTTTGATAATCTTCTCTTAGTACGACCTAAGAAACACCTATATACAAAATTTCAGCTTTCAAGGTCTCACTAGTATGATGAAACAGAGATGAATGAATGTTGGTGAGTTACTTTCGCATTTATGCGCATTTATTAGTATCAGATATACTGCAGCATCTTTGGAGGGAAGGGCCCACTAGCAAGAGTAAATGAACAAAAGAAAAATATTTATAAAAATACTTATCATATAATAGAAATAACAGTAAGATGGAATGTATGAATGGATTCCAATAGATAGTGGAAATTGAGTTCGACGTTGAGACGTTATCCGTCTCAATCCGACCCTGGTCACACATTATAGTAAATGATGTAAATAACACTGTTGATAAAGAAAGGTTTCGGCTTCTCACTTCTCCATCTTTGAACAAAAAATTGAGAAGTGAAAAGCTAAAACTCTTCTTTCCCAAAAGTTAATCAATCCTAAAAATATACCACTTTCAGATTAAAAATTTTTGTTGATTGAACTCTTACCTTTATCGAGTTGGGTATTTTTGGAGATAGTATCGAGTCTATAGTGCCATTTTCCACAGAAATATTCTGAACCCGAGGTAATTTGTCCACAATATAGCTGAGATTGAGTTCAGATTTGAAATAAGCGGATAATTCCAAAATAGTGACGTTCTGAAGTTCAACTTCTGGTAAATTTCCTTTACATTTCAATATATCACGATCAAAAATACAAAATTCTTCTGTAGGTCGGCCAGTGATTGTTGATACCATATACAAGATTTTCAGAAATATGGCACTGAAACAAAAAAAGATTTGCAAAGAGAAAGTGAAGACGTAAAAACAATATGTTTTTGTGCTCATATAAGTTCAATCCAACATTTCAGAACTTGTGTTATTGAACATTCTGTTGAACTTATAATCAAAATATTGATTTTCATTAAATTTACAAAACTGAACAAAATATCTTTGATGAGTGATGATCTAGGAGTTTTCGCGTGGAGTTAAACTTATCGCCCACTTGTCCGGCACAGCACAGCACGGCACGTCCCGTCAAAATACGGATAAGATTGAAACAATGAAAATGAATGGACCAGCGCCCGTCACCGTCCGCCACCGGAAAAGATTCCAGGTCTCCGATCGAAAATACTGGAAACATTTCTCCTCGTCTTCTTTCAGATCGTTGAAAAGATGATGAAACTCTCCCAGGTTTACCCTATTTTGATAAATGGGATGGACCGACAACATTCATTTTTGTGGCTATTTCCCTTGAAAACGGCACCTTTAGTATGCTGGTTGTAGCTGGACAAGTAGGCGATGCTACTACCCGTTGTCATCAGGCGACGGACAGCGCCGTGTTGTGCTATGCCGGACAAGTAAGCGATAAGCTTTACTCTTCTTCCAAATTGAAATGAAAATAGATGGAAAGTGATTCAACTGGGATGTTCAATATTTTATTGATCTGCAGTACTGCATCATCACTTTTACTTTTGGTGTCACATTTTCATTTTTTACCAGTAGATGAAATAAATTTGACAAAAATTTGAACATTGTCAAATTTCGATTCCAAAGTCTCAGCTCAGTTTCGAGAATGATTTGAAAAAATATTATTAACAAGCCAATTGCCTATTCCGAGTATATTCGGAGATATCCGAAAACACAGAAATTTCGGAAAATGTTTTTTTTCTGGCTTCATTTTTCGAAGAATTCGGAAATAAATTGTACTTCCACATGTCACTTTTCCCTGCTGAATAATGGTGCTATCCGACGTTTCGTCTCCCGGCCACCATCATCAAATTTATTTTTTCTTATGGGTGCTACATTGGATTCTTTCTGTTTTGAATAGAACCAGATTTTACCTTTTCAGTGATTTATAATAAGTTATCATTTTTTTTTAATTGGAGATGTTGAAAAAAATCAATTCTTATCATAACAGGCTTTGATTTTGATGTTTCTAAATTTGACTTTCAATTTGTTACACTCAATGACATTTTGGTATTGAACAAGGCATTGCATTTTTGGCAAAAAATGGCTTTCACGGATGAAGAAAAAAGAGATATAATACAAATGTATTTCAAATACGATAGAAACAGTGTAAGGACATCGTAAACGTATTTAAACTTGTATCCGGAAAGACGACAACCACATCGAACTATGTTCAAGTTATTGGATCAAAATCTCATCAAGTTTGGTTCATTTAAAAAGCCGAGAAAGAATACGGAAATAGAATGGACCTTGAAACTAAAGAAAATTTGATAAATGAGGAATGTATGAGGTAAGTTAGACATTGTGTCCTTTTCAATAAAAATTAATAATTTGCAGATAAACATGAACCCGGGAAAATCTACAAGTCAAATTTCCTCCGAAATGAGTATTTGTCATACAAGTGCTTGGAGACATCTCAAAAAAAGTGGTTTAAAACGTTACAAAATTCACATATCTCAAAAATTGCATCCCGGTGATCCCGAAAGGCGATTAGAATTTTGTAATTGGCTAATAAGAAGACCTGATTTTTCTGTTTTCCTGGAAAATGTAATTTGGACAGATGAAAGCCCTTTTACGAGTTGTGAGATATTCAACCGAAATAACAAACACATTCGGAGCATAAACAACCCCAGGCAGTTCCGAGAAATTCCACCTCAAGTGCAATTTAGTATTAACGTGTGGGTAGGAATTTACAAAGATGTAATTTTGGGTCCTCATTTATTTGACGGAATTACGAATGAAAAAACCCATCACCAGTTTTTAATTTCGATTTTCGAAGACTATTTGGATGATTCACCGTTGGCTAACTATAACAACATCTGGTTTCAACATAATGGTGCTCCACCGCACACTACCAGACGAGTATATAATTACCTGACTGAAAGATTTGGTGATAAATGGATAGGGAATAATGGGCCGGTGAAGTGGCCAGCAAGGTATCCATACCTAAGTGTTATGGATAAATTCTTATGAGATACACTGAAAAATAGAGTTTATGGTCAGAGAGAATATCAAAATATTGAGGACCTTCAACGTAGCATTGTTAGAGAGTTCGGAAAATGGAGGAGGAGGGAAATTAATCGTACAGTGAATAATATTTGAAGAAGGGCCAGTTGTGTTATCACAAACAAGGTCAGGATTTTGAGCATTTGCTGTGATTTACTTTTGTCTTTACATTTGAGTTAATTATTGTTATTTGTTCAAAGTTCTATTTTAATTGAAAAGGACACAATGTCTAATCTACCTCATTTATCAAATTTTCATTGTTAATTCTGTCTCCGTATTTTTTTAATTGGCTTTTCAAACTAACCAAACTCGGTAACATTTTGATCCAATAACTTGAACATAGTTCGATGTGGTTGTCGTCTTTCGAGATACAAGTTTAAATACATTTCCGATGTCCAACGATGTCTGTCGTATTTGTAATGAATTTGTATCATATCCCTTTTTTCATCATTCGTGAAAGCCATTTTTCGCCAAAAATTCAATGACTTGTACAATAACAAAATGTCATTGTGTGAAACAAATCGAAAGTCAAATTTAGAAACATCAAAGTCAAAGCCTATTATGAAAATAATTAATTTTTTTCAATATGGCCAGAAGACGAAACGTCGGATAGCAAATCTGAAAACACCAATATATAGCAAGGAAAAAGTGGCAACATGGAAGTGTAATTTATTTTCGAATTCTTCGAAAAATAAAGCCAGAAAAAATTAAAACCATTTTCCGAAATTTCTGTTTTTTCCGGATATCTCCGGATATACTCGGAATTTCAGAACTTTCTCAACGGCATATTGTTAATCAGGTAAATGCGCAACTTTGCTCCAAATTTCCTATCATCGTATCTCTCATAGTTTCCGAGATTCCAATGGTGAGGACCGAATTTAAAACACCCTGTATAGTGGATTATATGAAAAATAGTAAAGGGGAGAAAAGGACGTGGAGAGAAAAAGAGGTTAATGTGCCGTAATGTAAGAAATGAATTCGTGAACAGGCCTTATTATTGTAAGAAAGTGAATGTGGACATTTTGAACAATTAATTAAATGAACAGGAGTAGATAAGTTTCGAATGCATTTTCTTTTGAAATTATTACATTTATCGTTTGTATGCAGATTCTTGAAACGAATATATAACTGCCAATTACATAGAAATGGCTTGTTATATATGTTATATCTTGTTTTCCACAATTCATTTTTTAAAAATTAGTTTATTTCTTTATAAACACTTTATTACAATATTTGAATATAACGTGAAAAACTTGTAACATTAACTGAATAAGTAATTGATATGAATCGTATATGAACTGTACTTGAGAATGATTTCTAAGTTAATGAACTATACTAGAGAATGGTTACTTGGTTAATGAACATCTTTCTGACCTCGCAGGGTCTATTTATACGTTTGGTATGAAAAACAATATTTGAACAGTGTCAGCAATTGCTTTGTCTGGAGCACGAGTGTTCATCTTGCTGATACTGCACAATAAGCACTTTTAGCAGGAAGCTGTTATCGCTTTGTAATTTAATACGTGTGAGACGCTAATTCGCATATAACATATATGTACAGCTGAATCACTCTATATTTGTGGTCAGGATAGCATTATAAAAACGAAGTATTTTTTATATTTTTTATATTCTGATTTGCGACCGACGATCGCAGACTTTCCTATTTTCAACAGTAATGAATAAACTCTAATTTAAATTAGTTTGATTTTATTTACATCATTCTGTTAGGATATTCAAATTAATATCAAGACAGAACACGGCTGAACCAATTTCCGAAGGTGGAACAGTGTTGGATCAAGAATTTGATTATCTATCACAAAATCCCCCTTTTCGTAATGAAAAAATAAGGTGGTAGTGCCCTAAAGGCAATGAGTGATGCAAAAGTAGTTTGTCCGCCCTTGATATCTTGTTCCTTTAAAAAATTAAGATGGGGGACTTCTTACGTCCGCACTGTATGTCTACGTTCACATTTGTAAGCAACTCTTTCACTCGCAAAGACGTTCTCATATTCAATATTCATGTAACCTAATTACATGTTTAAAAATAAACTGGATTATTCGCCATACATATTTTTCATATTTCACTTGCAAGTGGTGTTCAAAAATACACCTACCGGGCGTTAACCTTCAACAAAATTACCCAATTGAATTATCATTATATTCATTTCAACCAGACTAATTTGGAAAAGAAAAATTCCACTCATAAACATAGTAGGGAAGTATTAGAGTGAAAACAAAATACAAAATTTTTGAATTATTATCAGTTTTGCCAGGTGACTGGATGAAAATTTCCTACACGTGTCATTTCTCCATGCTTTGTTGATTAAATAATGACATATTATATGACATTCCGGCATTACCACTCCCCTTACGAAGACGATATCTGAAAAATCGAAATAAGCTTAAACCTCGCTCGATCATCGATGGTCCCAACGACGGTTAATTACAGAGACGAGCTTCGATAGTCAAGTAACACTTTATTGTCAGATTTTCACTGAACATTTTACAAAACCCCAACAGTGTTTCACCGTGCAATAACTTCTCAAGCTTCGAATGAGAAATCGCGTTTTGTCTCAATGCAATTCTCTCTGCAAAAAATAATTCTTGAACCAAATGCACTACACTCATCATCAAAGATCATGCTATTTTTATCTACCAATAAACTTATCAATAGTACTATGTCAGATGAATGCCACCTTTGAACTCTTTTGTTCATAAAATTACCAATCCTGTATTTCCTTTACGAAATCTCTATACAAGTATCATGCATTCATGCAAAATTGGGGTTTAGGTCCCAAACGAATCCAAACGACCAATGATCACTTATGGTGCAATTGCCTGGTGTCTAAAGGCCCAGACGAAGCTCTTTGGCTTACAGAAACAGGCTTGTCTGGTCATCAGTGGTGCCATCAGTACCACACCGTCAGCGGCCATGGAGATCCTTCTGGATCTACCTCCTCTCCACATTTTTCTGGAGAGAAAGGCTAGATGAACTACATATAGACTTGTGTACATTGCTAATCGCACAAATCAATTCAATGCAGAGTGCAACAGACTGTTAGTTACACTGGAAGTCACAGCATTCTGGAAATGACCTCTGACTTAATGCCCCCAACTGTCAACTACGAACTGCCTTATAAGTACTATTCCAGAGAAGAGAGGACACCTTCCGGTTCTGGTGCAGGTGTTTTCAGTCGCACACCCAGGACAGAGATATCAACCAACCTAGGAACTTATACGACTCTATTTCGAGCGAATATTTACGCTATTGAATTGTGTGCGGAGAGATTGGGAGAATCCAACCTCATACACAAGTCAATAAAAATATTCTCAAACAGTCAAGCGACGTTGGAAGCTCTTGGCTTCTACCGAGCAACGTCTAAATTGGTAGCAAATTGGCAAAAATGACTCTCCTCGATAGGAAGACGTAACAGATTGTCTCTGGTCTGGACTCCTGGCCATACTGGCCTGGAAGGCAATGAAGCTGCTGACAAAGAAGGGTACTGCAAGCAGCTTCATCGGACCAGAACCTGTAATTGGCATCGCTTTAGACTTTGCCAAACAAAGATTGAACACCTGGATGACAAGAAAATGTATGGACTTCTGGCAGAATCTTCCAGAATTGGCTTCACCCTTTGCCGCTCGATACCAAACAGTTGTTAGACTACATTAGGGCCTTCTTACAGGTCACTGTCATTTGAATCATCATATGCAGAGACTCAGACTGTCGGAAGACAGTGTGTATCGCCTCTGTTTGGAAAAATGATGAAACAGCAGAACACACACTTTGTGCCTGCCCCGCTGGGGACCGAATCAGGTTTTTAGAGTTCGGCAGAGCCGTACTCTCACCATCTGACCTGAAATACCACTCACCATACAAACTAATCGGCTTCGTTAAAAAACTGGATTTATTTGGTCGAGTGTGAATAGGTGTGAGCCACAATAAACCCTTGAGGGTTTCGGTAGAGGAGATTATTATTTATGGTATTTTCAGAAGAGTGCGAAATTCAATGATGCGGCGGCTAGACGGTTGTATTGAAGCCGAAGGAGGCCATTTCCAACACTTAATTTAGTGCAATTCTTTAGTCTAGATGTTAATGCTATTTAATATTTGTTGTTATTGTTACATAATTAGTAATGAAAAATTGTAAAAATAATAATTTTCAAAAGAAACATTTAATTCCTCATATTATTCCTTGTGAGGTCCAGGGATATGCAATTAGGTCGACTTTTTTTCTTAAAAACTAAGCAAGATACGAAAAAAATTCGAGAGACAAAAAAGTTGTATTTCTAATTGCTTAATCCAAAGAAATAATGAAAATTGCACAAAAGTCAGTGGCGTACATTTTCAAGTAAAAAATATTTGTTCAAATCCCGCTCGAGACGCCACTGGTCTTAATAAATTGAATCACGTTCGGACTAAATTAGCTCCTCAATGTTATAAATACCATTGCCAAATTACAATAAAATTGGGTAAAGGATATTCAAGATATTTACGAATACATTTTTTTTATTTTTATTTTAACACCCTGTATCTTGAGAACGAAGGATTTGCGGACCCATGTTTATATGATCATTTCGTCATAAAATTACCTAAAGAATCGTCTTAAATTTATGGTACATACTTAATTAACACCCTGTATATGAACCTCTTGTATTCGTGGTATTTAATTTTCTCCATAACAGATGCTGTCGGTAATGAACCCAGCTGATTGCCGTATTGCATAAGCACTCGTTTCAAGCTACCTTCAGAGGAATCGATAAATAAGCGCTGTGCATTCGAATCATACTTCGTCCACTCGCATTGCATCTGATGAACCCAGACTTTTTGAACAATAAACACAGCCATTATCTTCGGAAAAAAATGTAAGTGAATATAAGTCTCACTGTACCGTTAGTAGAAATTGTCGTTTCTTGGTTGAAAGATTTTTTTGTTTTATTCGAGAAGCTAGAATCTTTGATGCTATCTTAGAAAGACCAATGATCCTGACCAATGCGTTAAGCTCTTCCTGGTTAACAGGACACAAAAAACCATGAGTATATTAAGGGCAAACGAAATTTTGTTCAATAAAAATATCCTATGATAATGTGGATCGTCTATGAATGATAGAGATAACATATTAGAGTTTATGGAGCGGCCAAGGCCGCTTCAAACGTCCTTGGAAAAAACTTCAAGGATGAAATAATCGACCTTGCCTTCCTGCAGGAACCATGGACAGGAAATACATGCCGAGTAACCGGACTAAGCAATATTCCTGGTGAGGTAATAGCGTGGAAAGGTATTAACCATTTTTGCTTACAGGCTTCTGCACCCAAGACGTGGTAGCCATCCAAATTTCCATATCGGGCAAGAAGGGTAAGACGAATTTTATCGTCTGCTCCGCCTACTTTCCGGGAGATTCGGATACTGTACCTCCTCTTGCTGTTAGACACTTAAGGACTATAGCAAAAGGAACAAACTTTACTGCCTACATAAAGTACTATTCCCGAGTAGAGAGGACTGGATCCTGCGGGAGAAGGAAATATTAAGAGCAGATAGTTGTTGGTTCACAGATGGATCAAAAACACCTTTCGGTTGCGGTGCAGGTGTTTTCAGTCGCAGACCCAGGACAGAGTTATCTACCTGCCTAGGAACTTATGCGACTGTATTTCAAACGGGAATTTACGCTATTGAATTGTGTGCGGAGAGATTGGATAAATCCAACCTCACTCACAAGTCAATAAAAATATTCTCGGACAGTCAAGCAGCGTTGGAAGCTCTTGGCACCCACCGAGCAACGTCTAAATTGGTAGAAAACTGCCAAAAAAGACTCTCCTCGATAGGAAGACTAAACAGATTGTCTCTGATCTGGATTCCTGGCCATACTGGCCTGGAAGGCAATGAAGCTGCTGACTCTTTCGCAGAGGAGGGTGCTGCAAGCGGCTTCATTGGACCAGAACCTGTCATTGGCATCGCTTTGGGCTTTGCCAAATAAACACTTAACACCTGGATGGCAAGAAGAGTTATGGACTTCTGGCAGAATCTTCCAGGATTGGCTCACTCCAAGGCATTTATTCACCCTTCGAAGCTTGATTCCAAACAGTTGTTGGACTACAGTGGGGATGAACTACGATGTCTGACAGGCCTTCTTACAAGTCACTGTCATTTGAATCATCATATGCAGAGACTTGGACTGTCGGAAGACAGTGTGTGTCGCCTCTGTCTGGAAAATGATGAAACTGCAGATCATATACTTTGTGCCTGCCCCGCTGGAGACTGAATCAGGTTCTTTGAGTTTGGCAGATCCGTACTCTCACCATATGACCTGAAAGACCACTAACCATACAAACTAATCGGCTTTGTTAAGAATCTGGGTTTATTTGGTAGAGTGTGAATAGGTGCGAGCCAAAATAAACCCTTGCGTGTTGCGGTGGAGGGTCGAATAGACCCACTCACTTTAGACCTACCTACCTACTAATAACTCTCTGTTGTCTGATCTTCCCTAAGTTTCAAAGTTCCAAATCAAAATAAGCAAAAAACTGAGTGAACCGTAATGTAAAGTTACAATGATTTTATGATTTTTATTTCATAAAATAATTTGATAAATGAAATGTGAGAAACTCTATGAAATAGTGTAAATTTGTTTTGAGTGAAAATCCACTAATGTAAATTAAGATAAATACAGTGTAAGATTCGAACTCGACCTAAATAATACAATTTACAAGTGTAATATTCAACTGAAGTCGTCATTTGATTGAACACGAACTACCAATTAAGTATCATAACCACTCTTGAGAAAAAATCGAAACAATAGCATGTTGCGCCAATGGTAATAATTATCTATAATTATTTTTCGAAAATCACAAGCGTCGCACTGAGACCTGTCGACTCATACTTTCCAATATGTGAGTCAACATTATGTAATGCCACTTATTTTTCTGTACGTATATTTCAGTGCTAAAGTCAAACATTTTTTCACATACATCGTTGATATTCTAGAAATAGCTTGATTGAAAGAATATGAAACGTGTATTTCATACCACAATATGATAGAAAACTAACATTTTTCATCAAAACTACATGAAGTTAATAAAACTGAATGATTTTTTTATCCCCATTCTATACATTTTCTGCTTTAGAATCACTGAAATCTTCCTTTTTAGCATTATAACATTATAATGCTATGTTTGGTTAGGTTAGGTCCAGAGTGAGTGAGTCTGTTCGAACATCCGCCGTAACCCGCAAGGCTCACACCTATTCACACTCGACCAAATAATACAGCTTCTTAACGAAGCCGATTAGTTTGTATGGTGAGTGGTCTTTCAGATGGTGAGAGTACGACTCTGACGAACTCTAAGCCTCTCTATTTAGAAAAATGTGGAGAGGAAGTAGATCTAGAAGGATCTCAATGGCCACTGATGATGTGGTACTGATGGCACCACAGATGGCTGGACGCCAAAGAGCTTTTCTGTAAAGTCTTCGGCCACCAGGCTATTGGACCATAAATGATCATTGGTCTTACAATCATTACATAAATCCAATGCTTTTGTTTTGGGATCTAAACCCCAAGTTTTATCACAAATCCTTCGACATGTCCATAGGGACGGTCTGACTTTGTGTAAAACTTTTTCCAAGTGAGCGTTCCAGGTGAGTTTCTTATCGAGGACAATGCCGTTCCAAATGAAATGACCTCACCATTGAGGGAAAGTGGCATTAAATCGTCCAATTTTCTCCTCCTAGTGAAGGGGATTATCACAGCTTTGCTAGGGTTGACAGACATCTGCTCCTTCAGGTACCAACTGTGAATAACGTCCATCGTGCTTTGAAGGATATTACAAGCTATCCTTCCCGACGTGGGCCTTGCCAAGATGACAATGTTATCTGCGTAAGCTTGCAGATCTACTTCTTTTCTGTCGAGGGCATCAAGCAGATTATCCATGAGGAGCGACCACTGAAGCGACCCACCTTGAGGGCAGCCTCTGGTGACCCTGAACCTAATGGCTTCACCTTGAAGAATCGTAGTTGCAATTCTATTTACCAGCATGATATAGATCCAGCCAGTTATGGTCGATTCTATACCTAACACTTTTGCTACCATGGCCTTGTAGTCAGAACCCTTTTCCTTTTTGTGATGCACTGTTTGAAACCTTTGGTGTAGTAATGAATATTACTGGAGTTGTGTCCCAACGCCAAACAGTTATTTTCAACATTTCGACACGTGTTTCAATCACCAAGTGATCACCTTCAAGAGGAAAATTAAACTATACGTACACACAATGTTGTCCTTATTTATACCATAGATACCTGCACTAGGTACCTGCATCTTAATTGTCTCTCACTAATTTGCAACGAAAACACCTTTTCCAGGTAGAAGAGTGTTTTTATGAACAAGAGGAGGGAAACCCTTGTTCCTCTACCTGACTAACCTGTTCATGAGCACTATTCTAAATGGAAACCAAAGAAAGTATTTCCCTAGGATATGACTGGGGTATGTGGAAGATGTTTTGCGATATTCAACAAAAAATCGATTATTGAGTATTTTATTTCCTTTTCAAATAACAGACATCCATCAATAAAATTCACGTATGTGTTAGAAAATAAAAGACAACTTCCATTTCTTGACATTTTGGTAATGAGGAGTTCATTAGTTCCTTGGAAAGATTTCCAAGGAACTAGGTATGAAGGTGGTATTTAAAACAAGTCATACACTACAGAGGAAATTCAAAGGACAAAGTCGAGAATTCGGAAAAGTCTGAAATGTTTTAAAGTAAATAAGGACAGCGATGCAAAATATCACGGACAGACTAAAAACTTATTAAAATGAGATATAAGGAACACTCAACACACCTAAAGTATGGATGACCAGAAAAATCAACAGTCGCCCACCAGTTTTGCAACAAAACCATTCCATACACTTTAGTTCATTAAGATTAGTCAACAAAAACAAGCATCTAGACGCCTATGAAAGTGTAGGAAATAAGTAAACATAATAATATTATGATTAACGATGGTGGACCAATACCTAATAGTTTTAGTTATCAGATTTACCTGATTTACCTGGTGTTGTCGTTTTGAAGAAGAACTGCTCACAAGTTTCTTGTTGAAGAATCAATAAAGTCTCGAATCGTCCAGGAAATACTTTTATGGACGTTGATTAGTTCAATGGATATTGTTACAATAAACTATTTTTTAATTCCATGAAAAAAGACGGCCCACGACGTGTAGGTATTTGATTCACTTCAGTCTTGAACCTGAACAACTCCTAATTCCTTTAGAATGCCTGAATCTCTGAGCAAATCAATCAATTCAGACGGAGTATAAGGTGAAGGTTCACTTGAACCTGGAACACAAATGTCACAGAGCTCACTGTTTTTTTACTATCTCATGGTTGAAACTATGTCTCATCTGAAATGTTATCTATACCAGCTGGTAGAGTAGGTATCAGCATTGTGACATTTCAGGATTAGATATATTTTTTTATTAATTATTATTCTGGCATCGACTACTGAGGTCATTCTTTCTATTTTTTCAACTTGGAATCTTGCACGAAAAACAGAAGTGAAACATGGTATTGTATAACATGGGGTTGTATTTACCTTGACTCCATTGCCTCAATTTTTCCACTCAACTTAAATTTCGTGTATTGCCTAAGGTTTATTTCGGTTCATTTCAATATGATCAGAAAAACTTTTACAGAAATCGAAAATACCTCACAGAGGCACATGTGTATAATACAGTATGACGATAGCAAAAATACTCAA